TTAAATACATATACTTAACTTACTGTCATGTTGTTTACTGAAACATAACTTACTTTAATCATATTAGGGTGGAGAGCAACCATAGAGCATTGAAAAGATGGTTGGCTTCGTCCACATGTGGCTTTGACACATTTTGGGCACAGTATCACACACAGATTGCAGATCAACTTAACGAGATTCTGGCCGAATTTGCGAAGTCAAAGCGGATTCGGGCCCAGACGATTAATGTGCTCATATTTAAAATATTATCCAGTGGAATTGTAACACATTCTGCACTGAAGATGTTGGACGATGAAAAGGATGAAGATATAGACAGTTGCGTCTGTTACATGAGGAAATGTCTTGGCCTCCCATGCAAACATGAAATTGACGCAAAGGTGAATGCACGACGTGGTGTGTTTTATGCTGAGGATGTCCACATTTTTTGGAGGACATGGGTTTCGGGATTCGGGCCTGGCCAAGAAGAGAGTGTTGGTTATGTCCCCGATCACAAGTCACAGGCTATTGACAGGCTAGACGGGTTAATTGATGAGTTGCGTGAACGTTCAGAAATTGAGATCACGGACGTGGCAGATGTCGTTTTTGAACGAATGCATCCTGGGGCAACGAAGATAAATGAGCCACCAGTACTGGACCGCCCTAGAGGTAGACCGCAGAACAACTCCACACAGAGGGATGACGATCACGGACGTGGGCGTGGTTGTAGCAACATATTACAACGCGTTGGTCTTGTCGCTAGTAGTTTGGGAAATCAGACTTATTTGCCACTTTGGGCTCCCGAAGGTGTTTCACAGTTATCTTACCAGATGACTATACTATTTCTTTAAGTAGGAAGCCACTTTTGTGTATCAGAAGCTGAATGACAACCGTCCGCTTCCTCCATTTAACCTGCAGTGGGCGAGATACATCAATCATACTGTTGCATATTTGTCAGAGGCATTGCGGGAGCGACGTGAAGCGTGATATATTCTAACTAGTGTTTGATTTAGTAGCGTTGATGTTGTTGTTGATGTTGATGTTGATGTCGTTGCTGTTGCCGTTGTTGTTGTTGTTGCTGTCGTTGTTGCTGTTGTTGTTGTTGCTAATTGTTATTGTTATTATCATTATTATCATTATTATTATCATTATCATTATTATTATTATTATTATCATTACTATTACTATTA